CAGAGGGGATGAGTGGATGTGGGCAGCCGCTGATGTTATTCTCAACCAGCCAGTGGTGGTCCAGAGGTCCCAGGATGCCTAACGTGTTCAGCTGAGGTTTGGAATAGAAGATGTAGTCAATAATACCCTGAAAAACAGGGGGGAAAAAGACAAGGCCCCACATAAGATAACACTAAAATACTGAGTGCTATCAAGACATATACCCTTACAGTAATGTGAGGGTAAACAAAACAAATGAAATTTCCTAGCTTGTGGAAGAGGTCTGTTCTGTACTACATAAACCAAATGGTTCCCCAAATGTCAAATCTAGCAGAATAAAGCATTCTTCCTCCTATCTTTACCAAATCTTTAATGAGACCAAAAAGACCCTTTAGGACTTCAGTCCCCAACCCTTGGGCCAATGCATGGTACTGGTCAGTGGCCTATTAGGAAAAAAGGGCCAAGCATGACTGCCTGAGCTCTGCCTCCCAACTTAACACCAACCCCTTCCCCGTCAGTGGAAAAACTATCTTCTAAGAAACTGGTCCCTGGTGCCAAAAAAATTGGGACTGCTGCTTTAGGACACAGCCTTTGTTTCTGTCCTAACCTAATTTGTGCCACTGTCCCTTGCTCTCTACCCTGCTGCCATTACTAGCCTTTGGGGGTGGAGGAGTCTGTACTACCAGACTCTTCCCTATGTTGTCCCTTCTGCCTGCAACACTCTCTTCTACTTGTCATCTGGTGAATTCTTTCCCAACCATTAAATGTCAGGTCCAGCCACTTTCTAAAGACCTTCCTGAATTCTGCTCCCACACACTTAATACTGTTTATGACCAATTCTCTTCTCTTGCTAATGCTCATCCCAATTACATACTCATTTGTATGGCCAAGACCTGTCTCTCCGACCAGACCATCGCTGCATGAGGGAAGGCTGTCTCCACCTGCCCTGCATCTCCTCAGCAGCACCTAGCTGTGGGATCCAGTACATATGAAAGTGACACAGCTCTAAACAATCACTGATATTAAAAATGATGAGCTGGCCAGGCATGGTGGCTCACGCCTATAATCCTCGCACTCTGGGAGGCTGAGGCAGGAGGAATGCTTGAGCTCAGGAGTTCAAGACTAGCCTGAGCAAGAGAGAGACCCCCTTTCTGCTAAAAATAGAAAAATCCGCCAAGCGTGGTGGTGCGCTCCTGTAGTCCCAGCTACTCGTGAGGCTCAGGCAGGAGGATCAATTGAGCACAGGAGTTTGAGGTTGCTGTGAGCTAGGCTGGTGCTTTGGCCTAGGGAAAGGGCCACCCTCAGGGAAACAGGGTGATACGCACACTCTCTCTCTGTCTCTCTCTCTAAGATAAAACAAAACACAACAATGAGAGTCACTAAGAAATGCTCCATATTGTAAGCTGTTGACTGTGTAAGAAGGCACACAGAGGTAAGATATATATCTTATGAGAAGCGAACTCTGGTCTTTTTCTTTGGCCCAAATTTCTTTCTAAGAGGCCTAGTGAGTCATGCCTACAAACAATAAAATCTAACTAAACAGGTTTTGTTAATCTGATATAATGTGGTTTACTTCCCAACCTGATTCTGGTATAGCCACATGAAAGACAGAAGATCCCCTTAGTCTTAAGCCAAGCAGCCTAGCAGACCCCTATCTTGATTGAAGTATTCCTTTCCACTGACTCCAGGTCTTTAGACAAAGCTTAACTCTCTAAGCCACCTATCAACTAAAGAATCCCTAAAACCCACCTATGACTTGTAAGCCCCCACCTTTGAGATGCCCCACCTTTTCTGGCCAAACCAATGTATGGCTTCCATGTATTGATTTATGACTTTATGTGTAATTCTTGCCTCCCTAAAATGTATAAAACCAAACTGTAGTTCAACCATGGCCAGACCACGTGCTCACGGCTTCTTGGGCATAGCTCTAGGCCACGGTCACTCATACTCTGCTCAGAATAAACCTCTTTAAATTATTTTAGAATTTGGATTTTTCCATCCACATTTAGAAACATTTAAAAATGGCTAATATAAACCACAGTTTGGCACACAAAAGAGTACAGTTTCAGTTAAATTAAAATATAAAAGTGAGACCCCCATCTCTACAAAAAATTTAAAAAAAACTTTTTTGGGCCAGGTATATATATAGTGGCATGTGCCTGTAGTTCCCAGCTACTCAGGAGGCTGAGGCAAGAAGATCGCTCAAACCCAAAAGTCTAAGGCTGTAGTGAATTATGACTATGCCACTGCATTCCAGCCTGGGTGACAGAGTGAGACTCTCTCTCAGAAAAGGTAAAAAAAAAGAAAAGAAAAGAAAAAAGAAACTGTCAAAAATTTCATGATTGCTTAATTGCAGTCTGAACAAATATCCACATTCCACATTTGAAAGACATACTGAAGTTACAAGACTTGCCAGTAAAATGAATTTTTTAAAAGCATATCAATAATCTGAAGACACACCTTGAAATCAAATGTGTAATTTGTGTAAGGCATCAGGCCACTATCATAGGCACTCTTTAACTTGAAACCATGAGTGATCCTTCCATTGGTTGTTCCATTCTTCCCATTGCAGCTGAAATTTGTAAGACTTTCATTATATCTCAGTTCCTTAAAGTCTTTATGATTTGTTTCTACTCCACCAGTGCTCAAATATTCTACAACACCTATAATGAAGAGAAAGGTACTTTTTTCATTGTCAAATATGAGATACACTGTACAAAAGGTCATTTTAAAAGGTCATGCAAATAGTAAATAGTTTTAAACCATACATATTCCTACTTTCTAAAATGTTTCATTTTTGTACACTTGTCAGAACTTGTCCACATCTATTTTTATGTGTAATCACTGTATACTGAATATTCTGCAATTTGCTTTTTTAATTTAATACTATACCATGTGAACATATGTGCCTTCCCAATTATCTTTCTTTAATGGCAGCATAATACAACTGGGCTGGTGTACAATATTTGCTAAACTACTTATTTTTAAAAATTAAGGATGTTTCCACTTTTTAAAAAGAATTAAAGATAACACCATAATAAATATCTTAGTATGCAGATTTCTGCTTATGCTAAATTATTTAGTTGGCATAAAATCCCAAGATTAGGACTGAATGTGCCATTTTAGAATACTGCCAACTATGGAAGAACATGCCACCAGTTAGTTCCAGAGCAACTTCACCATCCCTGGACAGTTTTCCCAATTTCTTTTTTTGCCCCCTCCTGCCATGTTTTCTCAATTTCTTAAGCATAAGATGGGCTCTGAAAATATATTTTAACTTTCATTTAATTAGTTAGCAAGGTTGGACATTTCCTCATGTGTTTGCTATTAAAATACTATATTTTTCAACTCTGAAATGGGTGCCAGATGCGTCTTATTTGACTAGATTCTCTCCTTCCCCCCCAGATGCTTTGTAGCTACAAAGATAGAACGCATGCAGGCAATTTGCCAGAAAATAATCCTCAACTACTTCAATTGCAGTAATCTCCAGACAGCTTGATAAAATGGAATGAAGAATTACAGTTCTTCATTCAGAATTACAGATACCTTTATTTTCCCTGAAAACAAATTTAACAGTTTCTTTCTTAATGGATCTTATCAATTGTGATGGCAATAATGTGCTACCAAATTTACCTATTCCAAACGTGTGTTCATTCATGCAAGTCCAAGGAAAAGTCAAAGAAAAAGTATTCTTGTGTAAAAGTATAAAAAAGGAAGAAATATTTAGTTTGATAGTACAAAGGTTTATTATGTCTCCTATCTGTGGAAAAGTATTCAGATCAACCTTTTTGTATTCTACATTGTGAGAAAAATCAGGATCCTTGCTCTTTGTTAAAATCACTTAACTGATTTGTGTTAAGGAGCTCAATTTCCACCTGGAGTTGTCTTTTCCTGATCGAGTCACACATACACAAAATTGAGATCCTATAATACATAGTTCAAATTTAAACTGTAATTATATTATCATATGCTTGAATCCCAAAGCAGCTGTCTTAATAAACCTTTTCAGAGTCTAGATTATACATGACTTGGAGATAATAAAATACATTACCTACATGTTTACTGAAGATGATAATAATATCCTTCCTCCTTAGGGTTCCATAATCTATTTCATTTTCAAAACAGCTTCACCCACCCCACACAAAAAATTTTTTAAACCTGCTCATGGCTGCCACTACAAACTGAATTTTCATTTTGACTAAATTTGGAATGGTCAGACATAATACATTACAAAAATGTTTTAAGTCAAAAAGCATTCTATATAAATTAACATTCTTTTCTTACCAGAGTCTGGCAAAGAATTAAGATCTGCACATAACACAAGTGGAATAATTCCAAATTCTCCCAATACACTGGATTTGAGGTTTCGAGAGGCTTTATCAATAATGTTCTTCACTTCTGAGAGGAACATCATAGTTTGCACCAACTTCACATCAGAGTATTCAGGGTCCCAATGCATGTGAGCATTCGCCACAAGAATAAGCTGTTTTTCTGTTACAAGATGTGGCTTTCCAGATGACATTTCAATCAATTCCTTTCGAAGTTCTAGCAGTACTGCAACTCCAATGTTATCTTTTGTCATGACTCTGTTCAGCATAGCTTCAGACCCTTCTGAATTTGCCATTGCTAGCTGATTAAATTCAACAGTGTGTTTCTGAACCAAAGTAAA